TACCTGCTGCGCTGAAGATACCGCTACGGCGAGAGAGAGAGAGAGAGAGAGAGAGAGAGAGAGAGAGAGAGAGATGAGCGATCCAAGATTGGTTGTCACTTACCTGTGAGGCGAGTTGTGTGGTCCGGTGGAGAAGGAAGATAGCGACAGCCATAGCCGAGGAGGAAGGGTTGACCGAGGGTTGACCAGGGGTTGACCGGAGGGTTGACCAGGCGTTGACCAAGGGGTTGACTGAGCGTTGACCAAGAGTTGTCCGCGTTGACTCAACGTTGACCAAGGCGTTGACCGGAGCTACTGACCAAGATTTTGACCAAGCTGGAGTTGGTGATATCTCGCCGAGCCCTTAGCCTATCCCCTTACCCTGTGGATGTGCACTCACCCTACGGTACTTGTTGAGTCCGAGTCTGTCTGACTTTCCTTTTTGCATTGAGTCTCTCTGTGGATGAAGGATAGGGCCTTGCTGCCAAACCTGCACGGGACTTAGTAGGACTAATCTCTACTCTGGCATCTGGAGACCTGGGCATGAGCGGCGAGCGCTCGTTAAACGACTCGTCTAGCCCAATGACCGGTACTGTCCGGCAGGTCTACTCAGTTCCAGTGTTGAGGGTCTGAACTCCGAGTTGTAGGCTGAAACGAAGGTCGTCTTTAAGTGTTGAGGCCTGGTTGAACCACTCCCCTACCGGGCCTAGTAAGGCTGATGATCTGTGTCTGACGACTCGACTGTCCCGAGGGATACGAACCCCTCCAAGGACCGGTACAGACCGGCGGGCTGCTCGGTGTGGCACAGTAGGCCGGAACGGCTGAGTTGTGGGCTGAAATCGCCAGGAAGAACCACGCTGATCACGTCGTCCTGACTGCGACGTTAAAGAATTCTTGCGGAGTTTGGGGGATCTCCTTAAATGCCTCCTGATCAGCTGTTGGTTCAGTAGTGACAGCCTTAGAGTAGTCTTGGATAGTGACCATAGTTGACAGGGTCTTACCCTGTGGTCCTTAGAGAGTCAGTCAGTAGGTTAGTGTGTCCGGGTAGGTCTAAGTGGTGAGGAGTGGGACATTGTCGTGCACCTAACACCACGATGGACGACTATCCGATGTATGGGTTGCTCGTTGGGTTCTCCCTTTGGGGGACCCTTTGGCGTTTCATGTTCCCGTTGGGGTTTTGGAACACCTTCGCGTGTAGCGTAGAGACGAAGGGTGGCACGACCACACACCCCTATACGCATGAAGAGGAGGCCAAGGCCGCCGCCATCCTGAAAGAGACAAGGGAGAAGAGGGAGGCCAAGAAGAAGGCCTTGTTGGAGGAGCAGGCGGCGGAACTGAAGAAGATTGAAGAGGAGGCGGCCAGGGAGAAAGAGAGATTGAAAAGGAAGAAGAGCAAAAGTTGAAAGAGGTGGAAGAGGAAGAGGAAGAAGATGAAATGCCACTGCAAAGGAAGAGAGGCCAGTACAGTGGCAGTAGAGACGAGGAGATGGAGAAACGGATTTCAGAGTGGGTCGCCAACTTATCCCTGGGCGAAGACGAAGAGGTGGCGATGTATATCCCTAAGGATGATCAAGAAGCCGCTATGAGAGCGTGGGAAGCAGAAGAAGATGTCATAAAGCAGCAGGCGATGGAAGACGAGAAGAGGATGGAGTGGAAACTGGCAGTGATGAGGGAGAAGAAGAGAAGAGTGGACGCGGCAGCAGAGGCGGCAAAAGAATTAGAGGAGGTAAAAAAGATAGAAGAACAATTAGCCGCCCAGACCGAACTCCCAAAGCAAATGCAAGTCATAGCCCGGAACGTTGCACGTCTAGCACGAATCCAGGCGGAGCAATATGACTTTAGTAGGAGTCAACACATAGCTGTGCGTTCAATAAAGTTGGGATTCCGGGACTTTGCTCGCGAGTTGGTAGGCGCTATAGGCACCGAGGTGGGTCATCGCCTCGAGAAGACTGAGCGGTCCTGTGTCGGCGCCATTGAAGGCGTCAAAGCGGCCGCTCCCAAGGAGGAGGAAGCACGTCCTCGCCGGGAGCCGGTCAAAGTCAAATTCCCTGATTCCTACAGTGGAAAACGGGAAGAGAACTTTGACAATTGGGAGGCCAATGTCAAGACCTATGTCCATCTGCAACAGGTCTCCCCGAATCAGCAGGTTCTAATTGCGATCCACGCGCTTAGAGACGAGGCCGCCAGCTTCGCAAGGTCCCTAGTTCGTGCTGCCAATTGCAATGACAATCCAGTTGCGTACTCCTCGTTCACTCCCCTCGCTGAATTCTTGAAGTTGCTGCGCGAGCGATTTGCAGATGTCGCTCGAAGTGTCAAAGCCTCAGACAAGCTCCAGACGATCCATGCCCGTAAGTGGAAGAGTGCTAGGGCACTCAAGAGCACAATGGACGAATTAGTAGCTGTCCCTGACCACGGGGTTACAGACACCCAGTTGTTCGCCCTCTTCCATAGAGCGATGCCCGAAGCTTTTCGCAGGCACTTCTTCGCGAAGAGCGAAGACCCTGCCACCACTTACGATTCCCTTAGCCGTGAAGTGGTGGCCTTTGAGGCAAAATCTGTGTCAGTCTCCACCTTCTGGCACAAAGATTTGGATAAGGGAAAGCAATGGAAGGRCCGCACTATCTCTRGGCAKGTGAAGACTAARGATAGCCTTGTCCTAACTTTAGATGAGGGTAGTGTGGATGAGATCCCCTACGATCAGATTGAGTGGGGGTTAGAGGAGGAGGACAGCGGTGTGGGCCAGGGGAGAACTTACGCTGTTGTCGCGGCTGGAGGGAGGCTGCAAGGAGGAGGACGAGGCCAGGGCCAAGGGGGCCGAGCCTAAGGGGCCTCAGGGAGCCGGTTCCAGGGCGATCAGGGGGTTGGCGGCAGAGGAGGAAACCGCCAAGCGGGAGGAAGGGGTCAAGGTCCCCCGCAAAACCGTCCTAGGAACAGGTCCCCCTATAGGGTAGGAGGATGGCACCCAGGGCTACCCCAGGGTAGGCCTTGGGAAAGTTTGGGTCTGGACCAGGGCTTATGGCAACAGCGATTGGACCGGGGCCAGTGCATTTTCTTTGGTGACCCGGGCCATATCATCAAATACTGTCCTAAGTATAAAGAGACCTGGACGACTGCACAAGGGCCAAAAGGCAGCCGCCGGTAGGGGTAGCAACTGCCCCTACCACTAGGCCATGTGGGGAACATAGCGCTAGCCGGCAGGAGATTCCCACACCACATGTGCCTATGGCAGAGGTTGCAGGCCGGTGTCTAGATAGCTGCCCAGAGACTGCTTGTGTTAGAGTCTCTCTAGACACCTCCCTCTCAGGCGTGGCCAAAGAGTTGAAGGAGAGGATGCCCGCCTGGGCCAAGATGAAGAAAGAGAATAAAGGGCAACTCATATTACTAGATACAGAGATTTTTAGAGGTAGAGTAGGGGCCCTAGTAGACTCAGGGGCCACCCGCAACTATATTAGTAAGCAAGCACTGCAGAAATTGAAGTTGGTACTTAAAGTCCAGAAACTAACGGACCCCATAGTTAGTATCCTCACGGACAATCGTACTATGGTTGTAGAGGATTACGTAGAGGGAGTCCAGGCGTATTTCCGCCTAGAGAAAGATGGGAAAGTGGAGAAGGTCCTCCACTCCCTAACTCTCCTCATAGAAGACAGCCTCCCGTTTGATATTGTTCTGGTGATGGATTGGGGAGAGGCAGTCGGGGCCACGCTCCGTTTGAAGGAGCACGAGTGTAGGCTCCCTAGTTCTTCAGGCGAGGCCAAGACTGCCCGCCTGTTCCATGTGTCAGGAGTAGAGAATCCCTTGGCACATTGCTGCCTTAGTGCTCCTGCGTTCGCCAAATTAGTGAAAAAGGAGAAATTGGAGGAACAGGGTTTTGTTACCTATGTTAGGCCAGTGATTGAGCCTACAGAAGAAAAGCCGATGGACCCTGCGATTGCCAAGTTCCTGGAAGAGTTCAAGGACCTAACTGAGCCGTCGATAGGAGTGGTACCGCGGTCCATCCAGCACCGCATTGAGATAGAGCCTGGCAGTAGAACTCCTAAGGGCGTTGTGTATAGGATGTCCCCACGAGAGTTAGAGGAGCTTCGCAAGCAATTAGACGAGCTCCTCGAGAAGGGTTGGATTAGGCCCAGTTCGTCTCCTTTTGGAGCGCCTGTTCTCTTTGTTCCCAAGAAAGAGGGAGAGCTGAGAATGTGCATAGACTATAGGGGTCTGAATGCTATTACAGTRAAGAATGCTGAGCCACTGCCTAGGATAGACGATCTCTTAGATCGAGTGCAGGAGGCGAAGTATTTCTCCAAGATAGATTTGAAGTCCGGATATCATCAGATAGAAGTGCATCCTGATGATCAGTATAAGACAGCCTTCCGGACTAGGTACGGGCATTATGAGTTTATAGTGCCCTTTGGACTAACCAATGCGCCAGCTACGTTCCAGCGCTGTATGAACGATTTGTTTAGGCCATGGTTAGATAGATTTGTTGTTGTCTACTTAGACGATATCTTAGTGTTTAGTAAGACCCTCCAAGAACACAAGGGTCATCTCAGGCAGGTCTTGGAGAAGCTAAGGGAAGCTAACTTCAAGATCAATGCAAAGAAGTGTGATTGGGCAAAGACCCAAGTTTTATACCTAGGCCACGTCTTAGACGTTAGACGGAGACGGCATTAAACCAGAAGATTGTAAAATCGCATCGATTAGAGATTGGCCTACGCCACGTACGCTAACACAGTTGCGCTCGTTCCTGGGCTTAGCTAATTACTACAGGAAGTTCGTGAGGAACTTCTCCACCATCGCTGCGCCCCTTCACAGATTGTTGAGGAAAGAGACCATCTGGAAGTGGGACAAGGACTGCACGTCTGCCATGGAGAAGTTAAAGCAGGCGTTGATAGAGTACCCGATCCTTAAGGTAGCCGATCCGTCCTTGCCCTTTGTCGTCACAACGGATGCTCGCCAGTACGGCATACGCGCGGTGTTGCAGCAAGACGATGGCAACGGTTATAGACCCGTAGAGTTCATGTCCGCCAGGATGCCTTCAGAAAAGGTCGCGACATCTACCTATGAGAGGGAACTCTACGCTCTCAGGCAAACCTTAGAACACTGGAAGCACTACTCGCTTGGGAGGCACTTCAAAGTCTATTCCGATCATGAGACGTTAAGATGGTTAAAGACGCAGGCCAAGATGACACCTAAGCTTACTAGGTGGGCCGCAGAGATAGATCAGTACGACTTTGAGCTCAAGCCAGTCAAGGGGAAGTATAACGTAGTTGCGGATGCTCTAAGTAGGAGAGCTGATTACTTTGGGGCAATAGTGCATTACTTAGACATAGGGAAGGACCTACAGCAGAAGATTAGAGAAGCCTATGCACAAGACCCTATCTATAGTGACCTCCTCAAGAAGGTCAAGGAGGCCCCAGAGACTGAGCCAAACTACCGCACTACGGAAGGGTTGCTTTTTGAGAAGACTAATGTATTTGACCGCCTGTGCATTCCCAATAGTGAAGAGGTCCGTAGTTTGATTTTGGGAGAATGCTACGACACAGAGGGTCATTTTGGTTGGCAGAAGACTTTAGCCAATCTGATGTGCGCATGTACCTGGCCAGGGATGACGAATGACTGCATAGAGTATGTTCGCAGTTGTAAAGTCTGCCAGCGTAACAAGACTTCTACGCGTGCCCCGTTAGGTCTTCTCAGACCCTTGCCCATTCCGGATCAGCCGRGAGACTCRGTGTCYATCGACTTCATGGACACTCAGGTCAAGAGCAGGCATGGCAAGAGCCAAGTCATGGTCATAGTTGACCGTTTTAGTAAGTACGCAGTTTTTGTTCCTTTCCCTTCAGAGGCGCGTATAGATTTAGTAATACAGAAGTTTTTTGACTGTTGGGTTAGTGAGAATGGAATCCCACTGTCAATAGTTAGCGATAGAGATAGTCGCTTCACCAGCCAGAACTGGCAAGAACTCATGGGAGTGTATGGATCTAAGTTGTTGATGCCGTCCGACCGCCATCCAGAGACTAACGGTCAGACAAAACAAATGAACAAGATCCTACAGCAAGTTCTGCGCATGTACATTAGGCCAGATCAGATTAACTGGGATGAGATGTTCCCTAAAGTAGCTAGTGCGTATAACAACAGCGTGCATTTGTCCACCTGCCGCACTCCCAACGAACTGCACAAGTCCTTTAGACCGCGCAGACCGTTTGAGGGACTCAACCGGGATCAGATCCACAGATTGCCGCCCGGGACCAGGGAGTTTGCTGTGCAACATGAAAAAGAACTAGCTACTGTTGTAGAAAACCTCAGGAAGGCCCAGCACAAGATGATAGAGCAAGCCAATAAGCATCGTCGCCCCTCACAGTTTCAAGTAGGTGACTTAGTCTGGGTCAGTTCTAAAGAGTTTACACCTGAGGAGAACATCTCGCAGAAGTTACTGCCCACCTATAGAGAACCGTGGCCAGTCTTGGAAGTCAAAGGCGGAGAAGATGGGCCGTCCTACACCATAGAACTCCCAGCACACCTCCACACGTACCCAGTTTTCCATGCATCGAAGTTGCTACCTTATCAAACAAGTGATCAGTTTCCATCTTGTAGGTCGATGATCCCACCAGATATGGATGGAAGATATGACATCGATGGTATAGTGGCTGAAGATGTCTTCAGGACTGGAGGTAGGGGATGTCCACAGAAACAGTACAAGGTTCATTTTAGTTATCAGGAACCGGAAGACAACCGCTGGTTTACGAGATCTGAACTTCTAGAGACGGCTCCCGATATAGTTCGGGCCTACGAGAGACGACAGAGAGGTAAAGGTCCTGCCTTGGACTGAAATTTTCTCGGAGGACCTCGAATTTAGGCCGGCGGGAGTGAAACGGTATTCACCAGTTCGCAGTAGCTGATGCAGATCCCAGGGCTCGATCCCTAGTTCCCCATCTTACCTGTGTACAGTACCAGTGTCAACCCGTAGATTTGAACCTGCGACCTGTAGGACTGCCAATGGTAGGTAGGATTTCGTAGGTTACAGGGTAGAGGAGATTCGAACTGTAGACCTGTCGGGTAGAAGTCTAGACAGCCTAGAGGTCGTAGCTGTAGACTGTCCGAAGGGTCAAGGTCGTAGCTGCTACTTACCTGAAAGGGCAAAGTCGTAGCTTTTGAACCTGCTACAGTACCGAAAGGCCAAAACAGAGAGTTCTAGAAGTGGCCTTTCGGAGTCAGCCTACGTTAGACAGAGGCAAGTGGTCAAGTGGTGGCAGTCCACCTCGTACAGTCAGCAGTCCCAGTCCACCCAGTCCAGTCCAGTCAAGCAAGTACCGTCTGGGACTGTGTGCACCGTGGGCCAGGGGACACATGACAGACCAGCGAGGCACATAAGTATAAATCAAGAGGCTGCGTCCAGCCATTCATTCATTCATGCGGAAGCCATGCGGTAGCGCTGCCTCAACGTCTAGTGCAAGGACGTCTGCAGGAGGCCCGAAGACGAAGTGGGCGAGAGTGAAGCAGGGTAGACATAGCGATAGGTAGCGGCAGCCATAGCTACCATAGCTTAGTGTAGAGCGCAGTGTGTGTGTACTGTGTGTGCGTTCAGAGTGATGTGCGTGGGACATCCAGGGTGATCCAGAGTGTGAACAGTGAGTTGTTTGGGCGCACAGTCGCCATAGCCAATTACAAGAGAATTTTTATCTGGTTACGATATCTCTGAGTACTGTGTGGGCGCTTGTCGCCAGTTTACTGTATCGCTGTTTACATGCATGAACAGAGTGAATAAGTCGAGTCCGATTACATGTTTATGAGAACAAGGCTAGCCAGATATCGTTTCTAAGACGAATGGTCTGACTATAGCCTTATCACAAATTAAAGGAGTATAACTAAGAGCTATAATTGAAGGTAACTTGGGCCAGCTGAGCATTGTTTCTAAGATGAATGACTCAGTCCTACGCTCATTTTTGAAGATTAAAGTTCAGAGAAGTATATATAACTTGGTTATTTGAATAGATCAGGGTGACTAAGCATTGTTTCTAAAACGAATGGCTTGGTCATATGCCCAATGAAGAGAAAAGTAGTTGTGCAACCTGTTCGTGTATAATTAAGGCAAAGAGTTGACATTGTTTCTAAGATGAATGGCCTAACTCGATGCCCTATGTAAGCCGGGTATAAAGGGATAAATCATTGAAAGACTACGAACTATTGTTTGCCAAGGGTGACTTGGGTTGGTGAGAGTACTTACCTTTGTGATTTGGCTTGCATGCGGCTGAGTGAGATCACTACTTCGTCTGAGTTTCAGTTTGACAGGTAGTTGCTTTAGAGACTCACCACGTGTTAGAGTGATACGAGTTAGTTCAAATTTTTGCATTTTCTGAGCTAACTTTATTTTACTTAGATCAATTCCACGTTTTCTGCTATCTTTTGTTATACTTGGTCTTGTATAAATTTTGGTAAGCTACTTTCTCTACGGGAAACGCTGCCGAAATTTCTGCAAATCCAAGGAGGTAGTCAACTTTTGATTTTTCAAAGTTCAACTTGTCTAAATTTTATATATGGCTTAGTAAAAATCTGGGAAGTCTCCCTTTGTAAAGGAAGTGCTGCCCAAATTTTTGCTAATTCAGGGAGTTAGACAAAATTTGACTTTGGAAAGTGGAAGATTATTTATGTTTCTATATTCGGGCTAATATAGATTTTGGAAAGACACCTTTTCTACGGGAAACGTTACCGAAATTTTCTTAGTTTAAAAGGCGCTATATTATATTTTGACAGGTGACAATCCTAGAAATCCACTCTGTATAGAGGAGATTCTGTCGGGGTTTACCTTTCTTTTGGGCACTTGCGTAGAGGTAGATTCGACCTTAATTAATTAGGCGGATCTTGAGTGAGATCGTGATATGAAGATTATTCTCCATGATCTTATAGATCTAGCCTGAGGCGTTAGATTATATTTTGACAGGTGACAATCCTGGAAATCCACTCTGTATAGAGGAGATTCTGTCGGGGTTTTCCCTTTCTTTTGGGCACTTGCGTAGAGGTAGATTCGACCTTAATTAATTAGGTGGATCTTGAGTGAGATCGTGATATGGAGATTATTCTCCATGATCTTATAGATCTAGCCTGGGGATTGACCTGTCTTGTGTTACAGACCCTCTTCATCGTTTGATTCAGGATTTGGGTTACACCTTGATCCTAAGAGGATCATCTTCTGTTATCGCTGATAACAGGTCGGTTGTCGATTCGTCGGTTTACGATTCAACTCCAATCCACTCCTGCCACTCAACCTAAAGGCTTTAGCCTTGTGATTTGAACTGTTTTGTTGTGTTTTCGCCCGGACTTTATTTGAATGGCCAATTAAAGAAAAGTACTGAGTATTTTATTTGAGGAGTTGTACAAGAGTGAGGCTTGCATGGCTAAGACAAGAGGTATAAGTGCAAGGAATGGTTGAAGTTGACCCCGTGTAGTGCATGGCTTTTTGGTTGAATCTTTGATGTGATTGCGAGTATGTTTGGTGATTCGGACTTTGGATTTGACTGCCTGCGCTCACATACATATATATATATGGTTGAAAGGAGTCCCACTATGACTGTGAGAAGTGATCGTCCTATATAAATAACCCTTATATATATATTTATATGCGCCTTGGGTATTCGCATGGTTTACTGTGATCGTGCGCAAGGGTTAACTAGAGTATGTCTTGAGAGAAAAGGAAGACCCTCTTTTGTTCTTTGCTCTTTAGAGTTTTTATGGTTGGATGTTGTAGTCTGTGGCAATCGTCAAAGTCAAACCCCTTGACCATCTCTCCAGGCCCTAGGTGAAGGAGCTGGTCTCCAAGGCCACAAGAGACGATTGCCACCACAGGTATGAACCTGTGAACCACCCACTCTCCGCAGGGTACAGAAGAGGGTGTGGTTTTCAACCGCGTTTGGCGATTGTCCAACGTCGAAAGATTAACTCTCAAGGCGCGTGTCAGTCGCCACTTGAGTGTCGAATGCGACCCTTGAGATTAACGAGGACCGCATGAGTATGGGTACTACATAGTATGCCATCATTGCGACCGCTTGCGTACGTTTGCATTGCTAGTCGATATGAGTAGGCCCTGCGTCCGCGCGATTTTTATACTAAGTCTCGCGCACAACACCTATCCGATTTCTGCGTCAGAAGGTTATGGGACACTTACTGAAGGGACTAGGAGTGTTGTCGCGTTGTTTGTTTGTTGTCGTTTCGTACATGTGTGCGAATGCGTGTGTGTTTTATTTTTGTGTTTGCTAGAGTGGTGTGCACATGGTGAGTGGGATACGTCCTAGTCGACCGACATCGAGTCCCGCTTGGGACTTCAGCCCCCCAAGGTGTTTGCTAGAGTGGTGTGCACATGGTGAGTGGGATACGTCCTAGTCGACCGACGTCGAGTCCCGCTTGGGACTTCAGGCCCCCAAGGTGTCAGTTCGCGTCGAGAGATTAACTCTCAAGGCGCGTGTCGGCCGCCACTTGAGTGTCGAATGCGACCCTTGAGATTAACGAGGACCGCATGAGTATGGGTACTACATAGTATGCCATCATTGTGACCACTTGCGTACGTTTGCATTGCTAGTCGATATCAGTACGCCCTGCGTCCGCGCGATTTTTATACTAAGTCTCGCGCACAGCACCTATCCGATTTCTGCGTCAGAAGGTTATGGGACGGTTACTGAAGGGACTAGGAGTGTTGTCGCGTTGTTTGTTTGTTGTCGTTTCGTACATGTGTGCGAATGYGTGTGTGTTTTATTTTTGTGTTTGTTAGAGTGGTGTGCACATGGTGAGTGGGATACGTCCTAGTCGACCGACGTCGAGTCCCGCTTGGGACTTCATCCCCCCAAGGTGTCGGTTCGCGTGCGGGTTCAATAGAGGCGTAATATCGCGCGTACCCCCTATGCTACAGCGAACGAGAAACGCCCTCGGCTGGCCCACCTCTGCGATTGCAACTGGTCAACTTTCGTACTGTGGACTGGTAGCTCGACGAGGATACGCCCACCGAAGGGAGGTGACAGCTCCCGTAAGGTGGAGGTAAGTCGTGCCTCGCGTAGGCCCTATCCTGTCGTAGGGGCTCGCGGGAGGTATGACTGGCGCACTCGGCCGGAGCGTCTTGTGGAAGCTCCATGTATATTCGTGACGAGGATTTAGACCAACTCCTGCGTGACGCGGCCGGGAGGGTCCCGCACTGCCCCGTGCGGTGTCGGATCGATGCGCTCGACAGCGGTCCTGTAGTGGACAAGAGGGCGGCCACACTGTCGTTCAAGTACGACGGGAAGGGGGACATCACATCTTGGATCAACTCCATGCGCCCATACTTCGAGGTACTGCGAACACCGCAGGAAGACCGGAGCATGACCATGGGCACAAATACTGAGCCCGCTGAACGGAGTTTCATAGAACTCCAAGCTGTTATTGCAGGTTATGAGACGATGCACCTGACAAAGTGGCTGAAAGTAACTCCTGTACGTACTCTTCAGGACCTCCTCATCGCGCAGTATCAAGATAAGCACGATGCGCTCAAGGGAAGGCTTAAGCTTGAGGCCCTCAAGGGCCAAAAGTAGACTTCCATACAGGCTTTGGAGCAGCACTTGACTGGTCTGTTCACCACTCCAAACCTGGGATGGACTGGCGTGTCTTGCATGGATGTAGTAATGGGAGTGGCCCCTGAAGACTATGTCTCCCGGCTAGGACTCAAGGACCATACAACCTGGCGTGAGCTACTGACGGATCTAGTCAACCTCGAAGCCAAGGACCTCGCCAAGCGTACGAAAACACCCACTGCAGGTAGAACCTCGCGACACAAGCGGTTCGGAAGCAGCAACCAGCTTGCCCTGCATGAACATCGGGAGGCTGAGGATCAGTCCTATGCGGACGATCTGTCTCTAGATGACGATCTAGAGCCGGACTCTGACGTGGGTTGTTCTACATCAGCCCTTGAGTATGACATGACTACCGAAGAGAAATGCAATGCCTTTAAAATGACTGCTTCAAGCAAGGGACCTAATCGTGGTTTGGGTAGGGGAACTATAGCACACCTCCCCAAGAATACAAAGATCCCTGAGAAACCGGAGGATGCTTCCACCAAGCCTTGGGAAGCCCTCCGCATTAGTCAAAAGGAATGGGAGAGAAGAGTCACACTGCGCATGTGCTTGCATTGTCCAAAGCCTGGGTACGCTGTGCCGGAATGTTATCGTCTGCAGGGAAACAGGCAAAGGGCGTAGAAGAGTCATCAACACTCTCTACAACAAGGGAAGCTGAACAGTCAGCTGCAGGCCCCTCCAAGGAGCCTGAATCTGATCAACAGCCTGCTCTTCAAGCCCCGACTGATGTTGAAACCAAGACTGCTGCAGTCTAAGCACTTTACATTAAGCCTTGGGAAGAAACTAAGGAAGTCGACTTCCATTCTCATCTGGAATATTGGCTGCAGTTCAAGCAGCAATGCCGTGTTCAAGGGAGTGTGGAACTGATGCTCATTAACCGCCGATACATCCGTGTGCTGATTGATAATGGCTCAACGACTAACTTCTTTTCTCCTAACGGGATTCGTAAGGCGGGTCTCGGAATGAAGCAAGCGGAATTGCAGAACCCTTGTCAGACCCAGGTAGGCAACCAAGAGGTTGTCATCTCAACACATGCTGTCAAAGGTGTGCACGTCACTTTTGACAAGGATCGCACTGTCACACATGAGTTGAACTTCTACATCCTGGACAAGTGTCCTTTCGACGCGGTCATTGGCTTGGGCTGGTTAAAGGCTCATTGTCTAAGGACCACGTGGGCAAATACTCAGTTCATGGTGCGTGATGCAAAGGGGAACGAGCGTACCGTTCTATTGGACGAGACGCGGGAGTCCCCAGTGACTCTTTTGAGTGCAAACAAATTATGCAAATCAGTGCGCAGGCGCAAGGAAGCTGAGCATGTGCATGTAACTCTTGTAAAACCTCTCCATGTGCCTTCGACTTTTGCTGCATTTTCTACCTCGGAAAATAATTTTGGTCCATCTACTTCTACTGTAAAGAATCAATCTACTTTTGATCCAAGTACTTCGAATTCGGTTGTAATGACTGTAAATTCTCAATCTGATTTTCTCTCTCCTGATGAGGATGATCCTCCTCCGGAAGTCCCAACAAACATTCGCCGTCTATTAAATCGATTTCCCGAAGTTCTGGTTGAACCTCGTGGAGTCCCCGAGCGTCCGGTCAAACACAAGATCGAGATAATAGAAGGGAGCGTTCCTCCAAAGGGTTGCTTCTACCGTATGGGACAAGGCGAGTTGGAGGAGTTGAGGAGACAAATTGACGATATGATTGATCGTGGATGGATTAGGCCTAGTGAGTTTGAGTTCAGTGCACCTGTCCTGTATGTGCCGAAGAAAGGAGGCAAACTCCGGATGTGTATTGACTATAGTGGCCTAAACCGTATCACCCGAAAGAACGCCTATCCCTTACCTCACATAGATGATCTGCTAGATGTTGCAAGTGGGTGCAAGGTCTTCTCCAAGATCGACCTCAAGTCTGGCTACCACCAAATTGAAGTTGATCCGGGCAACCAGCACAAAACTGCATTCAAAACACGCGATGGGTTGTACGAATTCATCGTTATGCCCTTCGGTCTTACGAATGCACCAGCCACATTTCAATGCCTCATAGACAAGGTTCTCCGCCATCAGCTCAACAAGTTTGTTGTTGTTTACCTTGACGACATCCTGATTTTCAGCAAGTCCATGGAAGAGCACGTCAAGCACCTTGAGGAGGTTTTGCAAGTCCTCAAGGAGGCACAACTGCACCTCAACTTAGACAAATCTGAGTTTGGAAGGGACAACGTCATCTATCTTGGGCACCGGTTGTCTGCAAACAGCCTTGAGTCGGAGGCAACCAAGGTTGAGGTCATACGAAAGTGGACTCAACCGACGAATGTACGCGAACTGCGTTCTTTTTTTGGTTTGGCTTCGTATTACCGAAAGTTTGTGCCCAAATTTTCTGTCATTCCTCACCCACTCTCGAGACTAACAAGTAAAAATGTTGCCCATGTGTGGTGTGAGAAATGCGAAACTATGTTCCAAGCCTTGAAAGAGGCTTTGGTAAGTCATCCTGTGCTTCGCATTGCGGATCCCAACCTCACGTTCGTAGTTACTACGGACGCGAGCGAGTATGGGATTGGGGCAGTGCTGCAACAAGATGATGTCGATGGCCTGCGTCCGCTCGAGTATTACAGCAAACGCATGCCTAGCCACAAGGTAGCTACCTCCACGTATATACATGAGCTCTATGCCTTGCGAGAAGCGCTCACACATTGGAAGCACTACCTCTTGGGTCGCCACTTCAAGGTCTACTCAGATCATCAGACCTTGCAGTGGATTAAAACGCAAATTGATCTCTCTCCGACGCTGACCCACTGGTTGCATGACATTGATGCTTACAATTTTGAACTGAAACAGAAGAAAGGTTGTTATAATCATGTTGCTAATGCTTTGTCGCGCCATCCTGAGTTTTTGACTTGCCTTGTGAGCTCATATGACCTCCGAAGGAAACTGAAGGAAGATCTGGTTGAACACACTGTCAAGGATTCAGACCTTAGTCCCATCCTTGAGCAGCTAAAGGCTGACCCTAACAGTCAGCCTGATTTTCACGAGTGCGAGGGTCTTGTATTCCGCCGATATGAGAAGTTTGATCGTTTGTGTGTACCCAACCATGTGCCTCTCCAAACTCATTTCTTGGATTTGGCTCATGGTCCGAGTGGACACTTCGACTTTGAGAAGACTTATGGAAGTCTTTTGCAGAAGTTTGATTGACCGGGAATGAAGGGATCTGCTCAGAAATTTATTGTTGAATGTCAAGTCTGTCAAAGAACCAAGGTCCATAGGCATAAGACTTATGGTCTGCTGAAACCCCTCCCCATTCCTGATGGACCCGGTGAGTCGGTCTCTATCGATTGCACGACCATGGGGAAGGTGAGCAAAGGAGGACATTCACAAGTCATGGTCATCGTGGATCGTTTTTCCAAATTTCTGAATTTGATTCCTCTACCTCCTCATGCACCGACTGAGCTTGTGATCGAAGAATTTCACCAGCAGTACATTCTGCAGTATGGACCCCCGAAAACTCTTGTGAGTGATCGAGACACCAAGTTCATCAGTGCTGATTGGAAGGACTTCGGTTATCAGATCTACGACATTAAACTCAACAAGACTTCTAGTCGACACCCCGAAGCCAATGGATTGGCCGAGGAAATCAACCAGACTGTCATCCAACTACTTCGCGCGTTAATTGTTCCAGAACATAACACGTGGGACAAGGAGTTACACAAAGTGAAGGGGTTGTACAACAACTCCATTCACTCTGCAATTGGCGTGACACCGAATCAACTGCAATATGGTTGGCAGTTGCGCAATCCTCTCTCCTATCTGTTCCTGGAACGGTCCCCTGGTCTGACACCCAACATGCCTGGCTACAATGCCAGGTATGCATGCTTGCTCAAAGATGCTATCGCAGCGATGAACAAGCGTCAGCATGCCATGATCAAACATGTTAACAAGTCGCGCAAAGAAGGGAACTTCGAAGTAGGCGGTTATGTTTGGGTTAAAATGTCTGAGTTTTCTGACGAAGAGGGCGTATCACGAAAGCTTCTTCCACTGTACTATGGCCCTTGGCAGGTTTTAAAGGTGGTTGGGGATGATTTTGGTCCTTCGCATGTGATTGACGCACCTCCTCATCTGTGCACATATCCGGTCTTTCACGCGTCCAAACTGTTTCCACACATCGATGATGAGACTTTTCCCTTCCGAGATCCTGTGATACCTCGTCCTATCAACGACGGCCATGAGATAGACATAATTGTTTCCCATGAAGGAAGAGGGAGGAACAGACAGTACAACGTACACTTCCTCTATCACCCGTTGAACGAGTTCTACTGGATAGATCGAAAAGAGCTGCTAAAGAATGTTCCCCGTGTTGTTAACGCTTATGAACGACAGATTGCTGATGGACAGACTGCGAAGTTTTCTGCAAAACTCACTCCTCACAGTTATACTAAATCTCTCTTTCTAATCTACGCCTATGATGCATTTTGTGCCGACTCTGAATGAGTTACCCGCTTGAAGGGACCTCGCTCTTGAGAGGGGGGTAGTGTAATGACCCGCCAAAACACAGACTGAGAACACTGCTGATTTCTGGGATTTGCTGCTGGAATGAATGTCTTGCTGAAATTCCAGCATTCTGCTGTGGTTTCCAAGTCTATGTGTGTGTGTGTGTGTCTGTCTGAGTGCTTGTCGACTGAGTGTGTGCGTGACCCTCAAGGGTACTTGTTGGTTGAAAGGCCCCGCAGGGCCGGTACTTACCCGTGGCCGTGACTTTGAGGGTTGCAGCGCGATAAACACTCAAGTAGCAGGTAGGCGGGTACCACTGAAGTAGTGGTAGACGTGTCGGGTACTGCCGAGCAAAAGAAGACAAAAAGTTGGCATTTTTAGAGGCCCAATAGCGGTAGGTTAGAGGTAGGCCGGTACCAATCCAAGTAGCCCAAGTCTAGGGCATGTCCGGACGATAGCAAAGCCTGCAATGATGTTTCCCTCCGAAAGGGAGGAGGTACCGGTTGTTGGGAGGCCGCTCAGCCTAGGAAGTCACCGCCCAAGAGGCCAGTAGGCCGCTATATCTTCCGAAGGAGCAAGCAGTTCCTCCTCGTTTGCGGTATGCAAGAATTGGTGACATGCTGCTGGAGCCAAGCACTGGACTTGGGCAGCGCTGCCTGGAGGTGACGAGCAGTTGGGCGCTCAGCTTGGCTATGGCGAGCAGCCCAGCCAGAGGAAGAGGAAGAAGGGGGCGAAGGAGGAGAGTGGCGAGGTAACTACCTGGCTATGGTGGACACCATCTTCATCACCTTGTTGGGCGCTGCATCTGGAAGGCCCGAGTTGGGGTAGTTCCACACCAAGGAAGCTCGAGGCAGAGTCAGGCATGGCGGCTTAGTGAGCAGCGACATAGCCGCTTTGGGTTGTCCTTTGGACAGGAGTGCAGCGACATAGCTGCTTTGCGTTGTCCTTTGCACAAGAGGGTAGAGCCCTCAGTAGTCTGCCATAGCCTAGGCATGTGAGAGGTGGAAGAAGGGGGGGAAGCCATAGTTATGGTGGACCTATTGTGATGTCAGCAGTAAGAGGGAACTTCAAATGTTGACTCTAGTTCATCCACTCATTGTCATTATTATTATAAATAAGATTGGCGGAGTGAAGGAGGAGGAGGAAGGTGGAGAGAGAAGGGGGATTCGTCATTGGTCTTGCTAGTGTACATCTTCTTCTTCTTCTTCTTCTTCTTCTTCTTCTTCTTTCTCTCTTTTTTGGTTTCTATCTCTTTGCAAGTGCTTTCATTTCTTTCGCAATTGGGTGGCATTGTCTTTCATTGTGAATTTGCACTTTGGGAATGACTAGGATCGTAACAATTCTTGATTATTCCCCATTTCCTGCGTTGACTCAATGTAAGCTCGATTGGGAATAACTAGCGGAGGTGGGCAAGTGTGAAAAGCCTCAGTTCAGCGTAGAGTAGCGTACGCTGTGATGAACTCCTCGAAATACTCAGAGAATCAGATGGGTTTGCGGCAATGAAACACTCGACACAACGAATAAAGTGAAAATTTGTTTGACCCGTTGATATAAAGTGTAAAGGATGCAGATGGATGGAACCTTGGTGAATTTGTAAGCGGACCAGAAGCACTGATAAGACCCTGGCTGCTCTGTTCCCCCCCCCCGTGTGAACCGCTTCAACTGCCATCTGCCCTTTCTGTCTCGTTCTCCCAAGACTATTTAGCCAAGGGATTAAGTGCGGTGAACGCATGAGTTCGAATTTGACGGGCTCTACTATGAACCCTAGCCATGAATGACATTTGTTAAGGTTTGACTCCCTGGTCTGGGAATATTATCTTTCTCCAAGCTTGAGTTATCCAAAGCTGGTCTTAATCAGGGGTGTGCGTTACTCCCATCAGTCCGAGCATGAATGGAAAGGAAGAGGGCAATTCTGAGGAAAATCGTATATCTCCTGATTAAATTCTTACTTGACGGGAATGAACAGACCCTGACGTTCTCAAGCTGAGCCAAGAATCAAAATTGTCGTGGATGTAGCCACTCTCCTGTTGGGAGGGAAGAGCGAACTTGTGGGGGAACCTTACCTTAATTTTATTATTATTTTATTTTATGGTATTTTACCTTATTCTATTTCAGTCTATTGTTCCTCTCAGCCGACCAGTTTAATACTTTGGGGCGAGAAGAGGACTAAGGACTCCTAGTTGATCAAGGGGGGGGGGCTGTTGTTCTCAGTATGAGACAGACTTGGTAGTGTGCTAACCTCTCACGAGTCATCACACTAATTGCAGGGCCACTCGTTGTAGGCGAACAGAAAATTCAAGTGCGCAATACACTGCGTTTTACGTGGATCTCAATTACTACCAGTAGTACCCAGTTGCAGCACCTATGTGGAAGTTATCTCAAGACATACTCTTCGGGTCCATATCCTATGTGCTGAGTAAAGGAGAGGACTGTGCTTGAAGTTTCAACGTTGAGCAACGACGCTAGGGCCTTTCAAGTCAAATCTGAAAATGTCCAAAGTCTTGGTCAATGATCACCAGTATAGGCCTGGCTTGTGATTAGACTACTCACTATGTGCGAGGCTCGATGCCGAGTTCCAAATCTATGGTCAAAGTTGAGTCCTAAAGGAGACGTGACGAACAGAGAGGTGACTACTGAAGTGTTCGGTGAGGTAAATGCATTAAGGAAATGATTGGCATCATCCCCGTATTACGTAAACAGGCAGAGGCAGTGTTCTCCACAACTCTCGCGTGGTAAACAGTCAAGAGCTGCATCTAGCCTTACTTGAGCACACCAATGCTGTAGTGTGGCTCGCCAACTGTCACGACTAGTTTTGCTGACCGAACGCGCTTCTCTAAGCATCGATACCATGTGTGGTACTGATGGGAGCATTACCTCTCGTGATTAATGTCATCTCTATGGTGTATGAGGGGGGAGTCATTTATAGTAACCACATTCTTGTTGTGTCCCTCACACTCCATCGGAGTAGAGCGGAGGAGTGGGAGGACCAAGCAGTCGGGGGCGCTTTACTCTGCCAGAAACTGACGAGGAAAAGGGCACCTGGACTAGCAAAAAAACAGAAGTTTATTAAGTATGTGGTCTACATTCACGAGTCAGATGGAAGGTTGCGTGGTACTCATCTCCGGAAGCCATTGAGCAGACCAGAGTGATGGTCCGATGAATGCAAGAGTACTTGGACACCTTTCTCAGGGACCCTTCCTATCGTGTCGGCTAACAGATGTCACCCGGTGATCTGTGACTTCCCTCAATGTCTTTTTGTCAAGGGATCAATACTCAGTGACTTGTTCATTCAACAACGTTCATCCATCAGAGAAGCTATTAAGAAACTTCAGTCGAGACCAGTTGCCACTTTTGTTGCTTCCGTTTGTCTCAAAGATCGGCGTCAGTAAGGTGGTGCTCCCTCCCGGGGACACTGAGATCAGTTTCATTATCCACCTTCGCACATGAGTACACCTCGACCATTTCCAGTTTGTGAGTCAGTCCTGGCCAGTCTCAACAAGATAGCCTTCAAAGATGTCGTCCGATATTAATATGTCAATGCCGTTGGCTTCAGACAACAAGATCTGTCCATCTTCGTTGTTCTCACCCGTTTTGCAGGAGGTACCATTTATGACCTGAGAATTTATTTGAAGAAAGGTAAGGAAAACCATCACTTCTTCGATTCAGTTTGGAATGCAGCAGCAAGGTACCTTGAGAAGAAGGAGAGGGAACTTGGCGAGAGTGGCACCAGACTGGTCCGTAGCTTCAGGCCAAGCTTTATACCGACTTCGCCAGGCCTTCTGTTCCCTTCCCTCTCACAGATGGCTCTAGTTGGGGTGACCTGGTGGATCTAGCCAAGAGGTACATCTCTCCAGTAAAGATTGATTACGAGTTAGTGACTCAGCCTTCGGAGTTCAGACACCTCAGGAGAGGAGTTTTCTCTAGGCCTTACCTTCCTCCCCTGTGGGAGGAATTTTGTGCTATGGTTAACTTCCGTGTCATGGGTCTTGGATGGAAGTGTTCGAAACTTGCGGGCTTTAGGTGGCTCTATATCCAGAGGCCGCGATCTCAAGGAGTACGGGAACATGGCACAAGGCACCGAAAACGCACAACAAAATGAGAGATTGAGTATGTGATCTAGAGGGATGAGTGAGGACTCATGACGAGTGCTGGCCATGCTCCTATTCATCTGCACTTTCTGAATTTTTTTACGAGTTCCCATTTTCCCCTTATTTATCTTGTCTCTGGCTTGAGTCAGCCGATCTGGCATCGTCTACGTTGCCTTTGCTTGATGATTATGTTTTATGATGATCTTGTCACAATTGTCAAAAATTAGTAAATTGGCAAGGTTGATACATGCATAGCACACCAGAATTTCGCGATTATTAATCGCATAATCTTCGTTGTTCTGAATCAAAATTGAAGATTCCTAAGACCGGGGACCGACGAAGGCCGCAATTGAAGGGTCTCGCTCGAAGTCGGGCGCACACAACAGGAAGGGATTTGCTTTACTTAAATTTATTCAATTATTGCAAAACATTAGCAAAATCCTTTTTTTTTTTTTTTTTTTTAACTTCGTGTACAGGGAACCTACTTAACGAGGTGATAAGAGCATCCTCGGTAAGTAGGTCCCGGCGTTGAAGGCTCCATCTATTGGTGGGGAGCTACACCTGCTGGAAATCGGGTCCAGCGTCCCTATACAATGATGTGAATGTATCTGTTGGAAATCGGGTCTAGCGTTCCTGTGCAATGATGTGAATATTGTGAGTGTTCCTGCTGGAGATCGGGTCCAGCATCCCTGTGTGCTACTATGTATTTGTTCATCAATCTATAAATTTTGTCCATGTCCCATGGGGGGAAAAACCCTCCCATTGTCTGTCCTACTGTGTATCTGTTACTATCAATACTTGTTCATCAATCAAAGCATCAAACAAACCATGTCCCATGGCGAGCAAGGCATCATGCCCACTTCTGTTGATCACACCAGAAGACGAAACCCTAATCGTGATGTGATTTGTGTGCAAGAGGGGAAAACCCTATATTCCTATACTACCGTTTCTCCATATCAAGCGAGGCCTCAAGCCAAATCCTATCAATCAACCAAGGGTCGAGCCCCAAGTACAGGAGTCCTATGTGTAAACTGGAGATCGGGTCCAACTATCCTATACAACAGTGAATGAAGCCAATCAGCATATATGTGAAACTCACGTGTATCCTGGAAAAAAGGAGAGGCGTTGATTACTTCCCTTCACACAGGGGAAGAGTTGCCCTTCTGCTGATAAAGCACTTATCCCCTATTCAATGTTGTGTGGAGATGATAACGTCTGAAAAACGTAACTCACCCCACCCTAAATAAGCAATCAATCAGAAAGAAAAACGTAACATCAAATCGTAATCATCATACCCTTCATGAGGCCACACGAATAAGAGGCCACGTGAATAAGAGTTGAGGGTATGAGAGTATGAGAGTAAGAGTTTTGAGATTATGAGAGTTGAGAGAAGAACATCCAACTCCTGCGTGACAGCCTGTTGGCTTTCTGGTCGCCTGAAGAGGCCTAACTAGAAAAAGTGTGACAGCATGGGAGGAGGAGGATCGCGCAAAGGGTAAGGTGGGGCGCGGGGGGGAAAGTAGCGCGCGGGGGGGG